TATATATATATATATAAAATAAAAGCAGAGATATTAAGTTGGATAGTATGATGACTGCATCTATTGTTTCATATAAATATTGTAGAGGTCTGGATAATAAAGTTACAGTATATCAGTTAAGTCTGGAGGATGATGTTTCGGCTCACAAGAAGACTGTTGGTACACATACATCATATATGTCATGTTGCGCATTTCCTAACAGCGATCAGCAAATCTTAACAGGCAGCGGAGATAGCACATGTGGTTTGTGGGACGTAGAGAGTGGACAATTGTTACAGAGTTTTCAAGGACACTCCAGCGATGTTATGTCTATTGATTTAGCACCGAGCGAAACTGGGAATACGTTTGTGTCTGGTGGTTGTGACAAACTTGTCTTAATTTGGGATATGCGTAGTGGCCAGTGTGTGCAAAGTTTTGAAGGACATCAATCTGACGTTAATTCAGTATGTAATAGTTAAAGTTATTTGAATATTTTTTCAAACTTTGTAATATTACTGATTGAAAAGTGATTATTATATGAGTCCCTTAATTGACAAGTGATATAAGTCCAAAATTAGAAAAAATTGTAAAAAACAATTGTAAAAAAAAGCTTAAGTCATTATTCCAGCTTTTTTATGGTCACTTAATATAAAATTAATTTTTATTTTTTATGAACATAAAAACAAAATAAAAGTAATTTAAATTGATAGATAAAACAAACCTTAATACTTTCTCTTCCTATAAAAAAAAACAAACGCATTTTTCCTAATTTTGGACTTATGTTACTTGTCAATTAAGGGATTCATATTTTTAATTGATATTTACTTTCTCTTAATATGTAATATTTGTGTATATAGGTAAGATTTCATCCAAGTGGCGATGCAGTGGCAACAGGTTCAGATGATGCTACTTGTCGCTTGTTCGATCTGCGTGCTGATAGAGAAGTTGCAGTGTATGCAAAAGAAAGTATAATATTCGGAGCAAATGCGGTTGATCTCAGTATAAGTGGACGCTTACTCTTCGCCGGATACAATGATTACACAGTGAATGTGTGGGATACTTTAAAGTGTCAACGAGTGGCGCTGTTATATGGACATGAAAATCGAGTTTCGTGTCTAAGAGTTTCTCCAGATGGTACTGCTCTGTCTACTGGAAGCTGGGATGCAACTTTACGAGTTTGGGCTTAGCTTCATGATAACTACTATTATTTTAAATATATTGAGATATTCTTGTTAGACATATATTGTAATATTTATTCTATTTTTTATTCTATTTATTTAGAAACTTGCCTTCAGTATTTTTTGTATGTTTCGTGTTTTCATAATATCGAATATCATGTATGATGCCTTAACTGTGCATTCAATAGCTAGCATGCTTGATTACAAAATATGATCCATAATATATAATTATGATAATATGATATAACATTGATTAAATTATATGCGCGCGCGCGCACACACACACCTATATATTAGGCTGGTCCTAATTTACAGATAAATTTTAGTGAAAACACAATATATATATATATATAT